TCCTGGTTAGGGTTTCGTGCCAGGTTCTCATTTGGCCTACCTCGATCTTTTTCCAACCTCTACCTGCCTCAGCCAATATCGATCGCCTTGACAACCTACCTGGTGACATGCGTAACACGTGCCCCAACCGGCTTAATCTATAAAGGTTGACTACTTGTTACAGTGCACGACCGCGACTACCTAAAACTCTACGCCTAACCTCAGCATTGCTCGTCCGGGTACCCCACCAGCTGAGGTCACTTCATAACTCAGTAGCGCTTCATTGTCCCAACGATGGCCTGGTTACCAAGACATTCGTCTCTGAAAAACNCGGTACATGGACGGACAAGTGTGAGATCTTTATATCTCAGCCTCCCTCTGCACCCCCACATAGTCTTTCTTTGTCCTGCCTGAATTCCTGTGATTTTTCTTTTGGTATGGTTCAGTTACACTTAAAAAACTGTTAGATGTAAAACTGAGTCATGATTCATCTAAATTTTTCCGCTGTATCTTTTTTCAGCCTCGGTTTTTGCATTTCTGTACGAACAAGATTAAATGTATTCTACATTTGCACTGCGAGTCTGTTCGACACCCGGAAGCATCACCCGTACATGATGTGAACTAAAACTGCACTCGTTACTAGTCACGGTACTCTTGAGGTGCGCGCCTGGTTTTCTTCATCACACATTGTCCTGCAATGTCCTATGTTTTGGAACGCAATGACAGATTGACACCTTCGGGATTAGTAAAAAAATAATGATAATAAAATTAGTAACAAAATGACAAAAATCAGTGAACGCTGTTTCATTTAACTATCGTTCTTTGAGCTCAGTGTTATTGTGTTTTATATTCTGGAGAAAGCGTAATTGCGAGGAGAAGGATGTTTCCTAAGACTAATGCTTATTGATCTTCGAATATGTGGACAATCATATCTGAACTCTGTCTAAACCGACAAATAGATCTCACATACAATGACAGAACAGAATCATCCAACAACGCTTATCTTTCTATTGAAGTAATTTTTCCTCATAATTATTCGAGAAGTGTACCAAGTGATTGACTACGGTAGCTGTCGCAGTGTAACCAACAGCTGATGCAGTGGTAGTCACTGAAACGTTGAATTTCGAACATGATTTTATTCCTTCAATTAAAATAATAATTTCTTTTTTTCTTCTGTCGTCCATAAATCAGACGAATGAGTTTGATTTTTGATTCCACGCCAGGCAATCTTTCGCTCCAGCCCATTATCTTTTGTCGTAAGATAGCACTTCATCCTCTCTACGGCCTCTTCACGATCGTGTCATATGCGGAATTTGACTTAATGACACTCCTCCTCTGATCGTTTAATATGCAGTCTTTAATCCACAACCAGAGAGTCGCGTCGTGGTCCTTTTCTACACCAATTTCTTCGAATTCGATTTCTCTGTTCTCATCTCTCTCAAATTTTTCCCCCTAATCTATAACCGATGTTGCTACTAGACTATACAATTTGTCTTCTCTTGGGTGACAAACGGCTCCGTTTTGGTAATCCGACGAACATCTCAGTTGTCGAATAACGTCCGCCTCTCTGTTCGGCCAATCATCGATAAATTCCGAGTACACACATCGAAGGTTTCAGCACACTGAAGCGCACATGAGCAATCAATCTTTTAAAACACCGCTGGCGTTTAAATGCAGGTTGGGTAATTGAAACAAAATTAAGCGTTTTGAATCACCTATCGGTTGTTAAGTTCAATCGCTAGGGCTTACTGTTGCAAATATCCCATGGAATATTAAAACTCACTCAGATCCCTGCTAATAAATATTTATGCACACCATTCACAAGGCATATTTATTTCCTCCGATCCATATCGCTCTACCCTCGGCGTGAGATAGTTTCCAAATTCAGTTCGTAGAATGGAGGCAAGCATGTTTCTTATTCTATTCACACACAATCATGAATACGTTTGACTAATTTACGATCAGACGTGGGATCGCGGTAAAAGCAGTTTCAAGTTCGTTTATGAAAAATTTGCACGATCACAACTGTTTCTCCAAATGTCTGACGTTCACCTGAGGAAGTACCCGAAGAAACATGAGATCAGCAAAACGTGGATCTGGTTAGTTATTAACATGCATCAGGTTTTCAATAGTCGATCGAAAAGTCACATAAACAATCGCATTCTTTCGTTTCCCGTCTCCAACTCTCTCTCTTTTTGACACAATGAAAGGATGCTACGGTTTTATCGTTTATTGGACACAAGAAAAATAAGCGGTCGACATTGAACAGACGGGGACAGGCCCAGACCCCGCCAACTGTGCGTGGTCATGGTGATACTGAGTCGTCATCCAGAGAGGTCATGCAAACGGTGGGCGACGGAGCGGAACTGGTGTTTTGTACATCGGATTCCTCCACGGCGAAGCGTTTAGCCTATCAGTTGAATTGCGCTCGCACGTACGCGTTGGGCAGTGAAGAAGTTAACGCGACTGCAGTCAGCCCACAACAGCAACAATCTCATTCCGGTCCGTTTTCTCGCCTCAGTCGACAGTTTCGTGACACGTGAGTTAATTCAATCTAATTGACCGATTTTTTGAAAGATTAGTCACTATAATATGCTGTCTGTCATTTGGCAAGCTTACCCTCATGACAATCTGCGTTTTATGTGCTCATATACACTGAGAAAATTATGGTAACATAAAGGATACTTTGCAGTTGTTTCATAATTTATTTGTTTTTGGTGGTTTTGTGTAACTGCCTTAAATGATCCTTTCCACAGCTGTAATCCAACATTTTGCGACTACCGGATGACAATCGAATTAGTAATTTAAGTACTTCAATCGTGAGATATTGATTGGGTGTTAAAACTGATCGTTCGCAAAATTTGGAGTCTTGTCTTGTAGCGGTTGCCCTCAAATTGGCTTGCTAATGAAACGATGACGGGTCAGACAAATTGGATTAGTGTAGAATTCGGCAGACTACTGCATGTCAAAAACCTTTTTGGAAATTGTAGTCATTGCATCAAGTGGTACATGGAGCATTAGGTGGAAGGCAAACGGGTCCCCTCTGCCCAGTGACAGTTTGAAGATTTGTGTGCTGGTTGATTCTACTTGACGATAGCTCACGTTACCTGCTGTATTCTGATATTGATCAAAATGGAACTGAACTGAATACTTGTATGGCACAATGTACTTCCGTAAGGTTTATTTGGAAACCATTGATCCCAGTTTTGGCTGTTCATGTATGTCGGATTCATTTTCATTGTTTTCTTCACTTGTCTCCTTCCAGCGGTCACACGTGAAATCCACGCATTTTGTTTTTTTCGAATTCAACTCGTCAGGAACAAGCTAGTGTTAATTGAAAAATCGAATGTTCCCATCTTTGTAAAATTAATACAATGACATAAATGTGTGGACAGCAGTTCCCTGACATTCGTTGGCCACTTTTTATACCTCTCGATTAGCCTTCCCCGTAGGATTGTTGATTTTTCTGCAGAAACGTTTCATAATAACGCTCCATGTGTCTGCGTATGTGTGCATTACCCTGTCAGGTCACATAAGTCGTTCCGCACGTAATCGTCCAATTCCTATGCAACATATCGGGTGTTGCAGTCTAAAGTTACACAGTAATTCCCTGGCATCGCACCCGGCGAATACCAATGTTACTTCGAAAAGGTCATTCGTCGATAATTTAGACCTGCCTTGATTGACTGGTGTGAATGTCATAGAGGTCCATTTGAGTACCAGATTGTTATGCCAGCACCTCCTGTCTTGTGTGAATGCGTTGACGGTTAACCTGATCAAGTCCGTGCCGGTGGTTTGACGAGATTGTCCCGAAATTTGGTTTCGTGCATCTTTCACCGGATGGAAATAAGACTTCAGAATCTTCGGTAAGGCAATATTGTAAATAGTGTGAGAAAAAAGCGAGAATCATTTCAGGTGTGATAATTTCACTCGATGAACGCTGATTACACAACGCGGAATCTCAAATTGCACCAATTCGGTTTTGCAAGAAGACGGAGAATTTGAAATTGCGAATCTTGCTATGTGGATATATTATGTGTGAAGGGTACCATTGATCTAAACGTGACTTAGCTTGTGATTCACCACGTTCACATTCGTTACAATGAAAAAGAAACTGTGCGTTGATGATGAACGTCTTTAGGCTAAAATGATACGAGTAATCAATTTGCTTCAGGGGATTCCTGGTTATAGAGGTGTTCTACTTTGACTGTGATCTTTTACTCAGCAGATCATCCGAATAAAAGTCGACTTTGTGATTCTTGAGAATACGTCTCGGATCTACGCATATCCTTGTTCAGTTTGGATCAAGCGCACAATCTGAGACTGAGAATGCAACTCTTGCCTTATGGAGCATCTTTGGATATTGAGAAAGCTTTTTACGGTTGCCAAACTTTGAGTTTTGCATGGGAAATATATTTCTGTTAAAGTCCTCCGTCAACGTTCACCGAGTTTTATTCATCGTCATCGTATCGGTCGTTTTGGAGTTATCTTCTTATTGTCTTTTTTATTTCCACACGCAAACAATTAAAGAGAACTGGAAAATGTACCACAACTTATGAACAAAGAAATCTGAAGAGTGTGTTCATGGGTTGTGTGGGCATGTTACTTCCCGGTTGCCCTGTCCGAGGGAGGAGGATAACCTCAGAATCCCCAGTCGAAGCCTTTGGCTAGAATGCCAGACCTGTGAGACAACGGGACGGAGCTCAGAGTCCGTAGTCCATTGGGGGCCAGTGTCCAGTTCACTGGATCATATGTCCTTCGGAAGGGGTCAAACATCCAAGGTGCTCAATACATCTTGAGGCCGTATTGGAACATTTCGCGAGGAGTAAGGGAATGGTGACCAGTCACAATCCCAGATACCCACTCCGACCATACTGAGGCTTTCGGAGGTCTCGTTTTTGTGATAGCGTCTGCATTTAAACGGTACTCCCTAAGCTAATTCAGATGAATAGACGTCGATGGTGTGGGTATGTATAACACTACTGATAGTTCTCATACTCGCTGCCAACTGTGTACAGTGAAGAAAGCCATATTAATATTAGCATCAATGTGGACGAAACACGAATGACTGCATGGAGAGGTTAAACAGGATTGAGCTATCTCGTTGACCTGGCAGCTATTCAAGGGACACCGCGGCACTTTAAAAAGAGATAACACAGGACATCACAATGAACTGATATTGTTCTCATAGTTGTTTTCCTTTTTCGTGGATTGAAATTTGCAGTCAGAGATTTTTGTTTGTTGGGTGCTAATTCTGTAATGCATTGGGTATCCAGATCATCAACTCTTACATCCTTTAATTGTAGTTCACTCTTCCAGATTGTTTCATTCACCTATCTAGGGAAGGCTTTTGCTCATTTAGCCTGGGGTTTGTGTTTTGATAGTACAATTAACTTTCATTTCTGTTCCGTCAAACAGACGCTCTTCATTCACCTTGCACATCTATGTTGGCTTAGGCACGTGCTGCGTATGCTTTCTCATCGTCTTCCCTATTGATCGCTGTTTTGATTGATAGGCATTACTGTATGGATCATTACAGTGGTCAGTACATGACTCGTTTTAAGGAAACGCATACGCCACTGTCAGTTTGTCTCAACTGGTAATCTTGTATCCCTGAGATAACGAACGTTAGAACTTTTAGGAAATATGAAACAATCCGAACCGGTGGCGTGAATGTTGTGAATAGTCACTGTGCATGCTACATCGACTCCCAGTCTTTCGAGCGGAAGGACAGAAATAATGAAAACGTGTAAAGTCTTACTCAACAACAAAATACAACTCACTCAAGCTGTATTAGCATATTTATCCTCTTCTTTTCAACTTTGACATCAACCATTGTTCCATCGCATTCTTTTCGCACACTAACCATTCATATTTGTCTAACTCTAAACCTGTTCATTTATAGTGCGATTCCTATCCGTCCTAATCCCTGATCCCAATCGGAATGCTTTCGTCATTTTTTAATTCTTCACAGTGCACTGATCTCATACGCAAGTTACTGTTATCTACATCTGCTACGTCACAATCGAACACAAACCGTTTGTTCGGTTCTGGTGATAGGATAAGGGACATTCATATTTCTGTGACAAAACATGATTGGTGTACTGGTTCATCCAATTGGCTTGATATAAAGCACCCTGCTTGAATGCGAATAGGATGGGGTTTTCTTCCGTCAAGCTATAAGCTTATCATACTTGGATGAGCGGTAATTGTTAGATCCAATTTGGTGGGGAGAGGAGGACGAAATGTTTCAGAATCAAGCTCACCATCACGTATCATTGAACATAATCTTTTGGGTCTCTCCACGAGCCATAAGGTAGAGCTAATGGGATATGAGATTTTTTCCGACTTAATACGGGTTTTCTCAACCGGTGATTCATTATCGTGACCTACTTGATCGAAACCGGTCATTTATAATGGTCTCCAAATGCAGAGCGGTTTTCTTCCGATTCCGCAGGCGACCATGTCCAGTTTCATTGTTTCCATCCATGCACTTCACTCTGTTGAAAGTGACCAGCTGATGACTGTGATCGAGCCGCATAAGCCACCAACCTCCTTTGTCTTATATTTCATTCACTGCAAACCGTTTCATCGCTGGGCTACTTTTTTCATTGGTATCTGTTGCAGTATTGCTATTTATAAACTTTTCCCTAAAAATTCATACACAGTTTTAAAATATTGGTTGAATCGAAACCTAATCGTTTATATTATCCTTGTTTCACTGACATGTCTATAGTTATAACAACTGGTAGTTCCCCTTTAGCAGACTAATATAATTTGAATTTTCTTGTTCTGCTTTGTGTCACTTCCTTCTGACCACCAGCCTAGCCAATCATCAAAACAGTGCATAAGATTAAACAAAAGAATAAGTTACTAATGCTAAGAGTGTACAAACTGAACTGAACTGAATGTACGATGTTGTAGGTTATCTAGATGTATGCAGAAGGTGTACCGTTGTACAAGCAACACTGCTCACGAAATATAACCTGATAACTCACCCCATCCGTATAATAATATGTGTTCTCTTCTTTTTAACGTTTCCATATATTATCGTTCCTTCGCATTCTTTGTGCACACTAACACTTCCTATTTGTCCAACTCTCAGCCTGTTAGTGAATGATGTATGATGTATAAAATTTTTGCTTGTATTGATTCCGAGGTTCTCGTTCGAGAAGCCCATCAAAACGGGGTGAGGGATGGCCACAGCGAATTGCTTTCAGGAATTTGACAGAATTGTAGTCTTTTCGACGTCCTAGTTCTGTCACTTGCACCTATTGAATGCTATCGGTAAACCCAGAAAATAACATTGATTTCGTTTGCTTTTGCGAAATGTCGCAATTGGCGGATCACCATTCGGATTATAGACTTACTCGAATATACCAGGTGAAATGACCAAACGTACAGAGAATGTTCACTTCCCATATATACCTTACCCTCCCATGTCTTTTGTATTTTACCCTCTAGTTCTCTTATTAATCGGTTCTCTTCTTTGTTTGGCCAAATCAGTTGCCCCGGATCAGTGTAACATAGTACAAGCTTACAG